ACATTTCGCACGCGGTCCCGCCGCCCATTTCGCCCTCACGCGTTTCCTGGCCTCAACGGGAGTTCCACGGAGGGTCCCAGTGGCGCAGTTCGCATGCGGTCCCGCGCCCATGTCGGCACACCCCTCACACGTTTCGTGGTCCCATAGGGAGCTCCACCGACGGTCCCAGTGGCGCAGTTCGCATGCGGTCCCGCAATCCATTTCGGCGCACCCCTCACACGCTCCGTGGCCCCATAGGGGGCTCCACCGAAGGTCCCAGTGGAACATTTCGCACGCGGTCCCGCCGCCCATTTCGCCCTCACGCGTTTCCTGGCCTCAACGGGAGTTCACGGAGGGTCCCAGTGGCGCAGTTCGCATGCGGTCCCGCGCCCATGTCGGCACACCCCTCACACGTTTCGTGGTCCCATAGGGAGCTCCACCGACGGTCCCAGTGGCGCAGTTCGCATGCGGTCCCGCCACCAATTTCGGCTCATCCCTTACACGTTTCGTGGCCCCATCGGAAGCTTCACCGAAGGTCCCAGTGGCGCAGTTCGCATGCGGTCCCGTACCGATTTCACCACACCCCTCACACGTTTCGTGGCCCCAGAGGGAGCTTCACCGAAGGTCCCAGTGGAACACTTCGCACGCGGTCCCGCCGCCCATTTCGACACCGCTTATACGTTCCGTGGCCCATTGGGAGTTCCACCGGCAACGATACTATCAACTAAGGTACCCACCACCGCGTATCCTTCGCCAGGCTGATTTTTCTCAGGTCCACGCAGGTCGTTTGGGCCAGCATTAACCCCCCCCCTGACGGAACCTCCAACGCCGCCCGTGGCATCTTTCGGAAGGTTGCCAGTTCCGACCGGAGATCCGCGCAGACCTCCGAACTATACTTTCGTTTTCTTGTCATGAGCGGAGGGATGGTGCGTGGTCCCTGCCTCCCCCGGGGGACCCATCGGCTTCAAAACCCCTCTCGAGGAGTCGTCGATACAGATGGCGCGCGGGTTAACATCACGCCTAGTTTTCGAGGGGTACTATTGTGTGTATCTTATTCGGGCACTCCACCTTGGCGAGTTCTGTGTTTGGATCGACATGTCCATGAGGCCATGGGCCTTCGGCGAAGGAGCTCGTGTCCTTGACCAGCGGCCTCACGGAGAGCCATGTGTTTGACCCGCGGTCTTGGCTCTGACCCTTCGTGGCCACGTTTTCCCGCGCAGGGCTACAGTCGGGGCCCTGAAGAAGGAACCCTGTTCGTTGGGGAGGGGCTCCGCGTTCCCTAAGTGTTTCACAGCTTGCCTCAGGTTTCCCTTAGGTTTTCGACAGGAAATCGGAGTTTCACTTATGGGAAAAAAGGGGCCTCGTTCCCTATTTAGGGCTCCTTAGGTCAAGGCCCCGACTGTACTCACGGTGCGATCCGATCGGATCCCCATTCTTCGGTTCCGATGTCGGTCCGATCCACCGCGATGCGATTCCATGTGTCTGCTGGCCTTCAGGGGCCGAGCCCGACCCGGGATCCCGAACGTCTGGTTTCCGCGCCGATCCAGGCGCGGTCCGATCCGAGTCCGATCCGATCCAGTTTCGCGATTTGGTTCCACGTAGGCCCGCCAGGGGTGTGTACTCGAGACGCCGAAGTAGGGACCTCCCTGGACTCGGTGGGGGCTCTGCCGTAGACGCGCTGACGGCGATGTACGTTTCGACACTCTAGGCGGGAGTGCCTCGTGGCCAAACCAATTGTAGGACATCGTGGTTCGTGCTTTCCTACAATTCGCTGCGTCGTTTTTGCTCGATGCATTCGCACATCTGAAATGTAGGAAAGTGTGGTCCGCGATGTCCTACAATTTGTTCTGCGCGAGCTCGGTGTCACAAAATTCAGACTCCCAACATCGCCGTTGACCAACATCGTCGTTCGCGCGGTCTTGGCTCTGGTCTTCGGGCTGTTTGTTAGATCTGGGTCGGGGAACCTGATATTGACCAGGCCTCGCTGAAACCAGAACTTCCTTACAGTCAACACGGATACGAAGGATGAGCGATTTTCCACGGGTCACATTGCAGCCTTCCCCCTCAACCCATGCCTGGCTACTTTCTTGCTGGCCGTGCACCGCTCGAGAGGTGTGCAAATGGCTCTCCAATGTCATGGCATCCTCAGCGTGCGTCTTTCTCATACGTACGCGTTGACTGTACCCTCGGGAAGGCGTGCGGGAGCCCCTCAGAAAGACGCCCCAAGATATCATCAAGCGGGGTTCGGGGGCGCTGGCAGTGCATGTCGGATCTGTAGGGGGCAACATGCGAACCCTACCCCCACCCTCCCCCTCAGAATCGCTGGGGGGTAAGAGTAGGGTTCGCATGTGGCCCCCTAATCTGGCGGCTCGGACAAATCGAGGCTGCTGGAGTTTCGCCACCTTGGCCCACCAGCGGCCGGCTTCGGGTTCCCGGGGGCCTTGACTGTGGCATCCGAGCAGTGGCGAAGCCGGAGGGTTTCTCCGAAGGGCTTAGGCGACCCGTCATCAAACCGTGCAGGCGAAGCGTCCTGGCTTGCCTATACGCCCACCAAGTAATGATCCAAGATTTGTTGTATGGTTTGCACTGGCTGTTCTTAGAACAGTTCTGGCTGAGACTGCCCTGCTTCAATGCATCGGCACCCTGTTCCAAGAACACTGTTTCCTTCTCGGAACATTACGTTTCTCTGACAGCACTTCGTAATAGGCCTGTTAGGAATGCCGGGACGGTCGGTCCCTGCTCAAAGCACGATGGCCGTCGCGAGAGCGGGTGTTCCCCTTCTGTGGCCGGCCGCCCAGGCAGTGGCAGCAGGCGCTGGCGGTGCTCGGCGGCATGCGAGTCGCGAGGCTCGAGCCGGATGCCGTCAGCTACGGCGCCGGGATCAGCGCGTGCGAGAAAGGCGGGGCTCCTTTCGGGGACAACGATAGGGGGGGGATAGGCACAGGAGGGGATGCATCGATCCCCAGTCTCCCATTGATCGCAGGTAGAGGCCCGATAGCCCCAACCTTCCCAGGAAGGTGCGGATTCACTTTCGGAGGCCTGTCGCCGATTCCAGGTCGATGTGTCCCCCCTATGCCAGTCCCCCCCTGTCGTTGCCCCTCATTTGAGCGACGCAAAGGGGGGTCGTCTGCGCCGACAGTCGTACGCAAGTTGCCCGCGTAAGGTCGCGCGTCAGACGAGGCGTGCCGCGCCGGCGGCCCGCTTGAGCTGCGGCGTGAGGCTGCTATGCCATCTCGCGTGAGACCCGTTTTCGATCATCGTTCATTTCGATTCCGATTAGATTTGATGTGATTTCGGTTTCGATGGGTTCCAATTCCGATTCGATTCGGCTCAGGCTTCCGATCTGGATTCCGATGTCGCAATTGAGCCTGCCGATTTCCGTCGATTCGATTGTTCCCGACTTGGCTGCCGATTTCCGCCGGTCCGCTTCACTTCGATCGCCGATCCGACTGATCGATTCGATTCTGAGCTCTCCTTGAAAGGCGGGCAGTGGGAGCGGGCGCTATCTGGAAGAACACAGCACTGCGCAAACGTTCATGGTAGAATACCTCGGGTTGCGCACAGTTAGTACCTCTGGGGTAGCGCCGACTGACCACAAGCAGGCCCCCCGAATAGTCCAGGGCGGTTTCGACACCCTAGCGCCGCCCCAGACTGCGATAGGTTCGCGTCGCGTCGACCTGCGGCGACCTCGCATCCCGCGCTCAGCGTGGAACGCCGCGGGCGACGCAGAATCGGTTGACGTGGAAGAATCCGACGTTTCGGAAGCGACCGATTGTGCAAGGTTTGAGTCGGGCCTGTCCCTCTCAAGGAGAAATATTTACAAATAGTGAAAAAGTGCAATGGGGACGATTTTTCTAGCATGTTTTGACCATTTTGGGGTATTTTATTATTCTTTGTTTGTCATCCAAAATCCCCCCGTAGGATGACAGGCCCAACTTAGTGCAAGGTCGAAGGATGCCCGCAGTGTCAGAGACCAACGCAGAAATCAGCACGAAACACGAGCCTGCCGTGCTCGGGGGTCTGCTGAGGCCAGCCTGGTCTACCTTTGAGTCGGGCCTGTCCTTATACAGGGGGAATGTTCAAACATAGGCAAAAGATAGTCAGGGGACGATGTTTCTACAATTTTTTGTGATTTTGGGGTGTATTTTTGAGAGTTGTTTTATTTATCCTTCACATGCTGCCTATGGGGGGGGACGCTACCCGTGCGCAGCCCGAGGCCCTGCCCCGGTCGTCAGAGGCGGGCGGTGCCTGGGATCGGAACAGGTCGCTCCAGGGCGCTCCGGAGCGCTCCGGAAGGGCCGCGGCGGCCAATGCATAGTGGGCCTGTTTTCCACCACCACCACCATGCGTAGGAGGGGGAGGAGGTCCTCGTCCTCCTCCTCCTCATCCTCCTTCTCCTCCTCCTCCTCCACCTCCTCCTCCTCCTCCTCCACCTCCTTCCCCCCTCCAAGTCATGGTGGTGGTGGTGGAAAACATGCCCATCAAATTTATCCCCGGGATCACCCGATCTCAGAGGTCCCCGATGTTTCGGGGGCGGCCTTGGGGGGGGTTGAGGGCTAGGGGTGTGTGTGTGTGTGTGTGAATATATCATGGCGGGGGCCATGATCTTTCCTCTGATGTCATGGCGCCTCTTCTTGTTTCATTTCGTCCCTAGCCCCCCCCCTGGGCCGCGCACGTCCCACCAGCCATGATTTGCGCCCCCCCTCATGGACACCCCCTTCTTGGCCGACCCCGACTGTACAGTCAACCCGCATCATCAGGATGGGCAACCTTCCCAAGGGTACCGCCCTTGCATCCTTGCCTCCTAGGTCTGTCCTTGGCCACTTTAGTTAGCCGCCGAGATGGGCGTCCCAGGCCCCTGCATCCTGATCGCACATCCTTGTGAGACGGGCCGACTGTATCACGATCCGATGTTGCCCTGTTCCTGGCATCGGTCTGCACAGATTGTTGGAGGTTGGTGCGGGTCTCTCGGGTCGGCGTTGTGGCCGTTCATCTTCGCTCCCACGGGGGCGCCCTTGGCGCTAGACATGGGACATCCACGCGGACCCCCTCCTCCTCCTCCGCCTCCTCCTCCTCCTCCTTCCCTCCCTCCCTCCCTCCCTCCCTCCCTCCCTCCCTCCCTTCTCCTCCTCCCCCTCTCCTCCCCCCTTCCTCATCCCCTCTCCTCCTCCTCCTGCTCCTCCTCCTCCTCCGCCTCCGCCTCCGCCTCCTCCTCCACCACCTCCTCCTCCTCTTCCTCCTCCCCTTTCTTCTCCCCCTCCTTCCTCTCCTCCTCCTCCTCCTCCTCCTCCTCCTCCTCCTCTCCCTCTGCTCCTGCTCCTGCTGCTCCTCCTCCTCCTCCTCCTCCTCCTCCTCCTCGTCCTCCTCCTCCTCCTCCTCCTCCTCCTCCTCCTCCTCCTCCTCCTCCTCCTCCTCCCCCTCCTCCGCCTCCTCCTCCTCCGTCTCCCCCTCGTCTGGCATTTTACGTTTGTCGTTGTGTGTTCTTCTGGTGTCGTTGCTCAGGGCATTGTCGGCATCGAGACTGCAGCAGAATGTGGTCTGCCACAGTGCCGGAATCAGTGCGTGCGCGAAAGGCGGACAGTGGCAGCATGCGTTGTCAGTACTTGGCGAGATGTGGGGGTTGCTGCTGGAGCCGAACACCATCAGCTACAACGCTGGAATTAGCTCCTGCGAGAGAGGGCTTCAATGGCAGAGGGCGTTGCATTTATCGGGGGAGTCGCAAAGAGGTGCCTACCCGGGCATACCCCATCTTCCATGCTCCAACCGCGCCCCCCGTGCGTCTTCCCACTATCGTAGCTCCCCACCTGGTGCTGAGTTGGGTCCTTGTTTTGAAGAGAGTGCCCCGCGTCCCCCCTCCTCCTCCTGCTCCTCCTCCTCCTTCTCTTCCTTCTCCTGCTCTTCCTCCTCCTCCTCTTCCTCCTCCTCCTCCCCCTCCTCCCTCCTCTCCGTCTTCCCTCCTCCGCACCTGTCAGATTTCGGCAGACCACTCACGCGTTTCGTGGCCCCTTAGGGAGCTCCACCGAAGGTCCCAGTGTCGCAGGTCCCATGTTGTCCCGCCACCCATTTCGGCACACCCCTCACGCGCTTCGTGCCGCCCATTTCGGCACACATCTCAAACGCTTCGTGGCCCAATAGGGAGCTCTACCGAAGGTCCCACTGATGCAGTTCGCTTAAGATCCCGCATTAGTTTCAGCCCACACACACATCTCACACGCTTCGTAGCCCAATGGGTAGCTCCACCGAAGGTCCCAGTGGCGCAGTTCGCAGGCGGACCCGCCACCCATTTCGGCGCACCCCTGACACGTTTCGTGGCCCCTTGGGGAGCTTCAACGAATGTCCCAGTGGCACAGTCCGCATGCGGCCCCGCCGCTCATGTCAGCACTGCGTGGCCCCATAGAGAGCTCCTCCGAATGTTCCAGTGGCGCAGTTCGCATGCGGTCCCGCACCCGTATCGGCACACCCATACACGTCTCGTTGCCCCATAGGGAGTTCCATTGACGGTCCCAGTGGCGTAGCTTACATGCGGTCCCACCACCTTTTTCTGGCACACCCCTCACACGCTTCGTGGCCCCATAGGGGACTCCTCCAAAGGTCCTAGTGGCGCAGTTCGCAGGCGGACCCGCCATGCAGTTGTGGCACAACCCTCACACGTTCCGTGCCCCCATGGGGGGCCCCACCGAAGGTCCCAGTGGCGTAGTTCTCATGCGGCCCCGCACCCGTTTCTGCACACCCTTCACACATGGCCCCATAGGGAGCTCCAGCGAAGATCCCAGTGGCGAAGTTCGCATGCGGCTCCGCACCCACTTCAGCACACCCCTCACATGCCCCCATGGGGGGCTCCACCGAAGGTCCTACTGGCGTAATTCGCATGCGGTCCCGCACTCGTTTCGGCGCACCTCTCACACGCTTCGTGGCCCCGCAGGGAGCTCAACGGAAGGTCCCAGTGGTGTATTTCGCTTGCGGCCCCGCGCCCATTTCGGCATACCCCTCACACGGTTCGTGGCACCATAGGGAGCTCCGTTGAAGGTTCCAGTGGCGCAGTTCGCATGCAGTCCCGCACCCATGTCGGTACACCCCTCACACGTTTCGTGGCACCATAAGTAGGGAGCTCCACCGATGGTCCCAGTGGCGTAGCTCACATGCGGTCCCCCACCGATTTCACCACGCCCCTTACACGTTTTGTGGCCACATTGGGAGCTCCACCGAAGGTCCCAGTTGAGCAGTTTGCATGCGTCCCCGCCGTCCATCGTGGCATACCCCTCACACGTTTCGTGGCCTTATTGGGAGCTCAACCGAAGACGATGCTCACAACTGCGTTACCCACTCCCGCGTATGGTTGAGTTCTTCGCAAGGCCAGGATCTACGTTGTTTCCCGACTGGTGGGGTAAGCTGATTTTGCTTGCTCCTCACAATTGGGGGAATTATCGGAAGTGAAGCTGCAGCCAAGCGTCATCAGCTACAGTGGTGCGGTCAGCGCCTGTGAAAAAGCTGGGGAATGGCAGCATGCGTTATCGTTGTTGAGGCTATCGGTCGAGGCCATATTAGAAGTAGATGTCGTCGTATATAGCGCGGCGATCAGTGCATGCGGAAAAGGTGGGCAGTGGACGTACGCAATGTTTTTATTAGGTGAGATGCTTGAACTGCGCTTGGATCCTGAAGTTATCAGTTACAACGCAGGGATCAGCGCTTGCGAGAAAGGTGGACAATGGAGGCACGCATTATGGCTATTTAGGGAGATCTCTGAGGCAACATTCGAGCCAGATGCAGTCAGCTTCAATGCCGGCATTAGCGCGTGCGAGAAAGAAGGGCAGTGGCAACAGGCGTTGTCTTTGCTCGGTGGCATGGCGAAGTCGAAGCTCGAGCCAGAGACCGTTAGCTATCTAGCTGCCTTTGGCAAGTCCCGCCACCGTGCCAATCCATCATTCTTGGTGGCGACGGTTCGAGGGGACACAGGAGGCCGTCACGTGTGACACCTTGTGTCCTAAAGCATCGGATAGCCGTGCTGAGGAGAAAGAGGAGGAGGTGGAGGAGGAGGAGGATGAGGACGAGATGGAGGAGGTGCAGGAGGAGGATGGCGACGATGAGAATAAGGGGGAGGAGTACCAGGAGGAGGATGAACAGGAAGGCCGTCATATGGGCCATCTCTCGTCTGAATTGATTGAGGAGCTCTGATGAGGCGCCTTTGGACTGTCTTGGGCCTGCCTTGGGCTCCCCAGGGGCAGTCTTGGAGGTCCCTGTAGGGCCTTCTTGAGGCCCTTACTCGCCGTCTTGAGGCCCTCCTGGGCCGCCGTTGGGCCCGTGGCCTTCCTGGTCGTCTGGGGGGAGGGGAGGTTTGGGGCCGCCTTGGGGCCCTATTGACGCAGCCCTGGCCGTCAAAGGGGGCCCTCTGACGGCCTCTCTTCCGAGGGCCCTCCCTGCGGCCAGACGTGGGGCCCGTCTTGGGGGCCCCTTGGGCCATCCACGGGGCGGCCCTGATTCTGGCATCTTCGGGCCCTGCCGGGGGTTCTCTTGTGGCCCCGCTGGGCCCGCTCGGAGGCATCCGGGGCCGTTCCGTGGGCCATCTCCCGCTTGAATGTCTCAAAGGGGCTCTGATGGGGCTCCTTTGGATTGTCTTGGGTCTGTCTTGGGCTCCCGAGGGGCAGTCTTGGAGGTCCCTCTAGGGCTCTCTTGGGGCCCTCCTGGGTCGTCTTGGGACTCTCCTGGGCCGTAGGGGGGTTGTGTCCTGGGGCCGCCGTGGGGGCCTCTTCTGGCGCCGCCTTGGCCGTCAGAGTGGGCCCTCTGACGGCCTCTTTTCTCGGGGGGGAAACAGACCTACCTCGCTTTTGACCACCCTCGCTTCCAAGAGATACCAAACAATGCCAAATCGCGGCCTGTACTGGTCAGGCCGCTTGACGAGGAGGCGCGTGGTATGGCTTGGTTTTGCCTGGAAGCGAACGCGGGGGAGGTAATTCACGCTCTGATTTTCCGAGGGCCCTCCCTTCGGCCTGCCTTGGGGCCGTCTCGGGGGCCCCTCGGGCCAGCAAGGGGTCCTGCTGGGGCCATGTGTTCGGACCCTCTGGTGGGCCTCCTCGGCCGTGTCGGGAGCCACCCTGGAGGCTTCTCGAGCCGACCTGAGCTGGCGGACACCAGAAAAGGTGAGAACGGGGAGCCATTTCAAAGATCAACGGGGCGCCAATAATGATTTTGGCATCTTCGGGCCTTGTCGGGGGTTCTCTTGCGGCATTGCTGGACCCGCTCGGAGGCATTTTGAGCCGTCATGAGGCCATCTTGGGCCGCCTTTAAGCCATCTTGGGTCGTATTCGAGGCATCTTGGGCCATCTCGGCGACGGTTGCCTGCATGGGCCGTCTTGGATGCTCGATACGTGGATCCAGTGTTTTTGCCCTAGGGATCGTGGTCTGTGGAGCGCGGAATCATTTTTTGTACGGGATCGTAGCCTCAGGAGGGGGGCTGGTGAAAGCGGGTGGGTTTTGGTAGAGGGCGTGTCCCTCAGAAGAATCCAGAACCCCCACCTGACAGCCATTGGCATTCTGCCACGCCCCAACGTGCCAGGGGGCATGGTGGCGGGTAATGCTGGGATAAGTGCGTGCGCGAAGGGCGGGCAATGGGAGACTGCGCTGTCGAAGCTACATGAGATGCGTGATATGGAGCTTCAGCCAGACATCATCAGCTACGGCTCTGGTCTAGGGGCGTGCGAGAGAGTGGGACAGTGGCAACATATATTGTTGTTGCTGGGCGAACTCCGGCAATTACTGCTGGAGCCAGACATCATTTGTTATAGCTCAGGCATCAGCGCGCACTCGAAAGGCAAGCAATGGTCGCAGGCGCTACTGTTGCTGAGGGAGATGCGGGAAGGGAAGCTGGAGCCCGACGTTGTCTGCTACAACACTGGAATCAGCGCTTGTGAGAAAGGCGGGCAATGGCAAATGGCGTTTGCTTTGTTAAGCGAGCTGTGGGCAGTGGCACTGCAACCAGACGCAACCAGCTGGAATGCCGGAATAAGTGCGTGTGAGAAGTGTGGCCAGTGGCAACGGGCGTTGTCTCTATTAGGCGAGATGCGTCAGGCGAAGCTGGAGGCAGAAGTCATGTCCTACAACGCTGGAATCAGCGCGTGTGAGAAGGGTGGGCAATGGCAGCGTGCGCTCTCGTTACTGCGTGAGTTGATGGACTACAACCTTGAAGTTGGTCTCGTTAGCTATGGTGCCGCAACCTTGGCGTGCGAGAGGTCTGGACAGTTGCAGCAGCTACTGACACTGATGAACGAGTCCAGCAATTTCACAGAGACTGAGTTGGAGCCGTGTGTCATCAGGTACAGCCTTGGAGTTGGCCTTTGCGAGCACTTCGGGAGGCAGCTAGAGGCGTCGTCCCTATTAGGAGAGATGCTCGACGTCATCGTTCAGCATCGAGGTCGCTCGTGATGCCCTCCTCCGGCTTCCAGCCCCACGCCTGCACCTGTTCAACATCGATAGCGACCACGATCGAGAAGCCTCATGTCCCCGACGGCGGTGTCGACGGGCCTCTGGGGAACCTGGTGGACGATGTGGGTGTGATTTTCCTGGTCCCACCCCAGCAGGTTCGAAGCTAAATAAACATATTGCATCGCAGGCCTGGAGGTTGACACCAACACCAATATCCGTGGTGTGCC